GTTATTAATTTTATATTCAGAAAAACAATAAACAAATTATAAATTTTAAATCAAATTATTACTGTTGGTATATCTGATTGTCTTTTAGATTATTAAGCACCTAGGAAAAACTCATATACTTTCTCAAATTAATGACTTGCTATTTTTATTTGTATTGACAACTACTAGTTACTCTATCAGGCACTGTGCCAAACAATTTAATTTGCATGAAAACTAAATATAATCTACAGTACATTTCCAAGGAGAAAAAAAAAAAACTATTACTGAAAAAGCAGGCTCTGTCCTAGGTATTACAAAATGGGCAAGACTTGAACAGACATGAAGGATTTCAGTCTCTAGTGAGAAATTTGTAACCACAGCTTAAATGTACAGAGAAAAGCATAAGAAGTGAATAGACCTATTGGGCCTAAGTTATTAGGGCTTTGACAGAGGATAAAACCCATGCTAGTCAAGAAATGAGGAATATATGATCTGAATTTATGATCAAACTAAAACAGCTTGTAAAAGAAGTATTTTAGACTGATTGAAAGAGGATAAAAAAAAAGTTAAGGCCATTTATCAGTCGCTATAGTAGCACTCAAACATACCATGATAAAGGACTGGGAGATAAATAAAGAAATTTGAAAATATTCCAAAAGAATGAATAAAGGCCAGGCACCAGTGGTTCATGTCTTTAATCCTAGAGATTCAGGAGGCTAAAATTTGAGAATAGTGGTTCAAAACTAGCACAAAGAGATAAATCTGAGACTCTTACATTGAATTAACCAGCAAAATGCACCAGGTGTAAGTACATCTCACATAGTGGAGCACCAGCCTTAAATGAAAAAGCTAAGCAAGAGCTCAAGGTCCTGAGTTTAATCTCTAGTGCCAGCATAAAAATGAATGAATGAAGAGAAATCCACTATTATAGGATAGTGTCAAAATCAGATGAGATTGAAGAGAAAGTCTCATTAACAGGAATAAAACTAATTAAAGTGAGAGAGTACAGAGCAGACCATCCTTTAATGCTAACAATTTGTAAGAGTACATTGTTCCAGTACACATCTGTCTTTCTACTGTTTCTCTTGCCTACGAGACTAACTGAAATGAAAATACAAAAATCTTATCTTTCTTTTGAATCTCTAATTCCTTCTATGAATTTCTTCACACATAAATCATTTGTTTCTATCATTTCAGGAGCCTGTAAGAGGTAATTAAAGTCATGGGGCTTGAGTCGTCACAATTAGGATTGGCACCCTTTTAAAAGAGAGCTCTGGACTTTTCTGGCACTCTCATCTAGACTTAAAGCCTCTAGAACTGAAAAATAAAACTTCAGAAGTTTACAAACCAATTAATCTGCAGTACTTTTTTTTTTAACAGAAGCTTGAACTGACTTAAGGTACTGCCGCACTCAGTCTATTTTAATTAACACATGTAGATGCAAGGAAAATAAATGATAATAACAGAATGAGGGTGAACGGAGGACCTCCTGAGTCTGAGAGAGTCTCTAGAAGAGTCCAGTTAATTTTCTTGAAACCACTGTTATTCAGTACTGTACCACTGAAGGACTTTTGGTTGTTTCTACAAAAGCTTCCTGAGTATCTAAATCGTATTTCAAACATGGAATTCAAAGTCTTATTTATACAGCAATCAAAAGTCATACTGACTATGGGCCAAAGGCTTTTTTTCCTCTGTCACACTTGGTCTCTCAACTGAAACATTCTCACTAACATTACAATGTAGAAATATAAACTATTCCTAGTCAATAGGAGCTTAAGACAACTCTCAATCTATCTGCATATTCAGTGGCAGTGGCAGCTGTTCTATTTTAAACTGTCACATGAGCAGACAACATAACTAAGTGCAAACTCAATCTTCAGGGATCCTAAGCTACCTCAAGGCTCAGATCATAAATTCCATAAAAGGAAAGTTTATCTGACCTTTTGTGGACATTATTTTTTCACCTTATCCATTAAACCAACCCTGGTCTTAACACAAAGTTCTTATTTGATATTCTATAATACTATCTAACTTTCTGTTGTTGCAGTTGTCAAACTCTATTTTTTTCTATCTTATTTTTTGCTATTAGTAATTAATTTCTACTTAAAAAAGAAGAAGAAGAAGAAGAAATCCAAGCTGGATGTGCATGGCTCATGCCTGTAATCCTAGCTATTCAGTAGGCTGAGATCTGAGGATTGCAACTTGAAGCCAGCCCAGGAAGAAAGTCCCTGTGAGACTCTTACTTCCAATTAAACACTCAAAAGACAGACGTGGCACTGTGGCTCAAGTAGAAGAACACTAGCCTTGAGCACAAAGAGGTTCAGGGACAGTGTCCTGTCCCTGAGTTCAAGCCCTAAGACTAGCAAAATTAGTGAACAGTATTTCTAGCTTCTATGGACTAGAAAGTTATTTCAAAACAAAATACATATGAAATGGTTTTTAAAATAGTATGTTGAACATTTATTAGAAACATTTAAATCTAAATCAACAGTATTACACACTCATTTGATACGGCTAAATAGCTGACAAGAAATTTATTAGCTAGGTTCAGTTATCCAAAAGTTATTAAAGAATACAATTTTTATAGTCTAGTTTCATTTATGGATACATTTAAGGACATGCTGGCATTAGCTGTTAAAACATAAAATTATTTTCAAGTGAAGATATGTTTTTCAACATCAAAATGAACAGAGCTGTGCACCAGTGGCTCCCACCTGTAATCCTAGCTACTCAGGAGGCTGAGATCTGAGAATCACGGTTCAAAGCCAGCCAGGACAGGAAAGTCCATGAGATTCTGATCTCCAATTAAGCACCAGAAAACTGGAAGTGGTGCTATAGCTCATGTGGTAGAGCACTTGCCTTGAGCTGAAGAGCTCAAGGATAGGGCCCAGGCCCAGAGTTCAAGCCCCACAACCAACAACAACAACAAAAAGAACTGAGAAGTTTGCCAAAGAGTTTTCTCTATATGTGATCATGATTTAGTTGTTGTTGTTTTTTTTTTTTTTTTGGGTCCGGTCGTGGGGCCTGAACACTGGGCCTGGGTGCTGTCCCTCAGCTCTTCAGCTCAAGGCTAGCGCTCTACCACTTGAGCCACAGCGCCACTTCTGGCTTTTTTCTTTTTGCTTATGTGGTGCTGAGGAATCAAACCCAGGGCCTCAGGCATGCAAGGCAAGCGCTCTACCACTGAGCCATCTTCCCAGCCCTGTTGTTTTTTTCTTAATTTGAAAAAAGGTTTATTTTTGAACTAGGGGTATTACTTGAAGAGCAAGAGCCCAAGTTCAAGCTCCAGAACTACAAAAAAAAAAAAAAAAAAAAAATCTAAAATGCTGAGACAGTTACTAAAAAAAAAAAAAAAACCACTTAGTCATATATAATAGTATTCAGTTACTACCTATAATCCATTTTAGAACCAGATTATAAATAAATAAAAACCTCCAGATTTGCCCAATTAATATGTATGTAGAATTTCAAATCATATCTAAAACATTCACTTTGAAATATGACCTTTGGAATATTTAACAAATCCTAAACCAAGCACTGATATCTCATGCCTGTAATCATAGCTACCCAAAAGGCTGAGATTTGAGGCTTACGATTCAAAGCCAGCCTGGCTAGAAAACTCTAGGAGACTCTTATCTCAAATTATCCAGTAAAAAGCTGAAAGTGGAATATGATCCAAGTGGTAGAGTTCTAGCTTGGAGCAAAAAAGCAAACCGGAGCATGAGGCCCTGAGTTCAAGCCTAGAGCCAGCACAAAATTTAAAATGTTTTAAAAGTTAAAAAAAAATCTTAAAAGGTTTTAGATAATAACATGAAGAGTCTGAAGGTAATCCTCTATGCAGAAAAGCAGTATCCATGTACAAAGAGTTCTCTTTTAGAAAAGAAGTCTTTGGGATTGGTAAAGTGCTAGCCAAAGAGTGAAAACAAGAACTGGTCTCCGACTTTAAAAAAAAAAAAAAAGGATGCGTGGCTACACAAGAGACTGCAATCTGAGGATCAGGATTCAAAGCCAGCATGGGCAGGAAAGGCCATGAGACTCTTATCTCCAATAAACCACTAGAAAACCGGAAGTGGCGCTGTGGAGCCACTCTCCCTGAGCTGAATAGCATGCAGGGACAGAGCCCAAGCCCAGAGTTCAAGCCCCACAACCTACCAAAAAAAAAAAAAGAAAGGACATTTGCTTCTAATAAATAGCACTGTATCCAACAACAAAATAAATTGTCTTGTGAGGTGGTATGATCTTTCACTTAACATATTAAGTTGGAATTAGTTATGCATAGACAGTTAAAGAGATAGATATCATGATATGAAAAATACCATAAAGGGCTGGGAAGGTGGCTCAGTGGTAGAGCGCTTGCCTGAGGCCCTGGGTTCAATTCCTCAGCACCACATAAGCAAAAAGAAAAAAGCCAGAAGTGGCTCAAGTGGTAGAGCGCTGGCCTTGAGCTGAAGAGCTGAGGGACAGCACCCAGGCCCAGAGTTCAGGCCCCACGACTGGACCCCCCCCCCCCCCCCCGCAAAAAAAAGAAAAATACCATGAAATTCTAAACCCTAAAGATAATTTAGGCTATTGACAAATGGATATTAGCAAAAATCATCTATTTAAGAAAACAATTTTTGCCAGGTTTCAAGAACTAAATAAAAATCTGAGAAAAGATGAATCACAAAGAATACTGATGTGCCGGGCACTGGTGGCTCACACCTGTAATCCTAGCTACTCAGGAGGCTGAGATCTGAGGATCGCGGTTCAAAGCCAGCCCGGGCAGGAAAGACCGTGAGACTCCTATCTCCAATAAACCACCAGAAAACCGGAAGTGGCGCTGTAGCTCAAGTGGTAGAGCGCTCGCCTTGAGCTGAAGAGCTGAGGGACAGCGTCCAGGCCCAGAGTTCAAGCCCCACGACCAACAAAAAAAAAAAAAAAGAATACTGATGTATTTTCCCCATTTATAGCATATACTAAACCTATTATATTATAAAACCATAAATAAGAGCATTTTACTAAAGTTTATTTTCAAAACTTACCAGAATTCTGTTGGATTCCCCACCGTAATCTCATCTTGAATTGCCGAGTACCACTTTGCTGGAGTCTTCTATTTAGTCTTGGAAAATTCTGCTTCTTTCCTTCCTTTCGATTCAATTTGATAATGTCATCTACAAAGGAGTAAATACCATAATAATCATTTTCACTTAGTGTCTATTGCTCACACCCATTTTATTTTTTTATTTTTATTTATTTATTTATTTTTGTCGGTTGTGGGGCTTGAACTCTGGGCCTGGGCGCTGTCCAGCTCAAGGCAAGCTCAAGGCAAGCGCTCTACCACTTGTGCTATAGCGCCACTTGCTCACACTCATTTTAACTTAATGACTCTATTGCTCACACTCAGGGCCCTCAAGATATAGCACATGCTGACTCCTTCCTCAGCCTCCAGCATGCAGGGATTTACAGGTATGCCCCATCAAATCTGGCTTCTTTTCTCTATTTAAAGCATTTCCATAGAAAATAAGAAGATAAAGCTTCTGTCAGCCATTTCCCTCGCAATAACCCGTAGGGCCCAGATAATCAGCGGGGCCCAATAGCGTGGCCCCGTGGTCCAGCCTGCTAGAGGGGGCAGGGCATCAAGGTGAGCCTCACAGCTCCACAGACTGGCATGGGAGAAGAGCAGGGCTTTGAGAGGCTGCCATCAAGTCACCGCCCCACAGGGTAACGCAGGAGGGGCGTGCCATACCCTGGGAAGAGGTGGGGAATGCCACCAAAAGGGGGTGGGGTGTGCTATTGGAGGGGGTGGGGTATCGAGCATGGTGAGGTGCAGATTGGGATTGGAGAGGGGACAGCTTGGGGGAGGAGCATGAATGGTGGTTTGGAACCTTAGGTGGGGGAGGATGCAGCCTATCTGGGTAATATACAGGCTGTGTGCTCAGAGGCCAGGGGGGAGTAGGAGGAAAACCAGAGGCTGGAGGAGAGGTTAGAGGGAGGTTAGGGGGAAAACAGTCCGAAAGGAGGAGAGAGGAGTCCAGAGGACACATGGACTCCCGAGGAGAGGGTGTCCGGAGGAGACCGGAGGAGACCGGGGGTCCTGAGGAAAACAATTAGTGCAGAGGAAGGAAAGGAGTAGGTGTGGAGGGAGAGATGGCAGGAGGGGAAAGCTTGCCTGGGCAGGGCAGGCCTGTGGAGGACACAGCAAGCCTCGGGAGGTCATCTGGGGCTTCTCGAAGCCATTTGGAGCTTCCTCAAGAAGCCATTTGGGGTCTCCTTCAGAGTTCATTGGGGTCTCCAAGAGGGGCATTTAGGACTTCCTCTGGAAGTCATTTGGGTCCTCTTCGAGGGGCCATTTGGGACCTCTTCCAGAGGTCATTTGGGGCCTCCTTTGGAGGTCATTCAGGGCCTCCTCTGGAGACCATTTGGGGCGTTCCTCTAGAGAGACCTGTGGAGAGGCGCCTCCCGGAGCAGAGCAGGGCAGGTCTGTGGAGAGTGGAGAGGCCAAGAAAAGGAAAAGCCTTCTCCTTTGGAGGTTTGGAGCTTTGGAGGTTTGCAGACTGACCAATAAAGGTTGGGGGGTCAGGACTGCCTCGTGGAGGTTTGGAGGCTTGGTGGTTGAAGCTGCTCTTGGTTCTGGGTATCTAGCCCAGAACAAGATAGTCTCAAGACCCCTTCTGGTGTAAACAGTGTAAATAAACTTGTCCACTTTTCACTGTCTGTGCCTCGATGGATGTCTTGCTCTCTGTAGGTCATAAGTTTTGGAGGCCCCAGCGAGATCATCCACCTGGATGGCATCAGGCCTTGGCCCCCCGGGGAAAACCCCCTAGTAGGTGAATATCTCAGCCATCAGGTGTTTCCCGAGGACCAACATCAACAAGAGTCATTTGGGAACCCTTCTAGGGGTGAGTCTGGGCAAGCTTGTCAGCCTGTTTTTAGGACCTCCTTAAAAGGTCATCTAGGGCTTTCTTAAGGAGCCATCTGGGACCTCCTCTGGAGGTCATCTGGGGCTTTGAGAAGCTATTAGGGACCTCCTTGAGAGGCCATTTGGGACTTCTTCTGGAGGTCATTGGGGGCTTCTTCAAGAGGGCATCTAAGACCTCCTCCAGAGGTCACCTAGGAGATGTGGGACATGTGGTTAAGAGTTTATGGCTATTTGTGTGTGTTTGCTGATAATTCTATCTGTGTCTTGTATACACCTCTGCTTACTCCTTTTTTCTAGGATAGGAGAACAATGTCCCAAAGTTCTCATAAGTGAAACTGTAACTGAAAAATCTTCTCCCCAGTGTTACAGGATCCCTCAGAAGAAGACCCACCAGTGTACTCTCCCTCCTATTCTGTGCCATCAGCACCTCCGATGTTAAGTCCCCCCATACTAGAAGTGGTTCCTTGTACCAGCCTAATGTGGTACAAGGTGGTACAGTCCCCTTATTACCCTTGAGAGGGGCGCATGGGGGAAGACAATGGGCAAGTCCCCTTTCTAGTGTATGTTCCCTTTACAACTAGTGACCTGTATAACTGGAAACAGCAAAATCCGTCCTTTTTTTCTGAAAAACACCAGGGGCTCATCTCTTTACTAGAGATGGTGTTTTTCACACACCAGCCCACCTAGGATGACTGTCAGAAACTTTTACAGGTGCTTTTCACCTGGGAAGAAAGGGAGCGAATTCGGCGCAGTGCCTTGAAGGTGGTCCTTGGAGCAGATGGTTCCCCCACTGATGACCCAGTCCGTTTGGAGCAAGTCTTTCCCCAGACGCACCCAAGCTGGGACTACAACAGAGATGGAGGTAAGGAGTCGCTTACCAATTATCACCAGACTCTGTTAGCAGGGATACGGGCAGCGGCTAGGAAACCAACTAATTTATCTAAGGTGAGTAAGACTGTACAGCTCCCCAGTGAGTCCCCTGCTGCTTTTCTAGAACATCTCTTGGAGGCCTGTTGGGCCTATATGCCTATAGATCTCAGGCCCCAGAGAATCGAGCCCTAAATGTGGCCTTCGTTACCCAGTCGGCCCAGAAGAAAGCTTCAAAAGTTAGAAGGTTTTGAGGGAAAGGTGTTATCTGAGTTGGTAACAGTTGCCCAGCAGGTGTTTAATAACAGAGATACCCTGGAAAAAAAAACAGTCAAAGAAGGAGGTTCCAGTTTTGGTAGCAGCACCAGGACATGGATCAAGAAACTCTTGGCTGGGAAGGTGGCTCAGTGGCAGAGCGCTTGCCTTGCATGCCTGAGGCCCTGGGTTCAATTCCTCAGCACCACATAAAGAAAAAAGCCGGAAGTGGCACTGTGGCTCAAGTGGTAGAGCGCTAGCCTTGAGCTGAAGAGCTGAGGGACAGTGCCCAGGCCCAGAGTTCAGGCCCCATGACCGGACCCAAAAAAAAAAAAAAAAGAAAGAAACTCTTGGCGAAGACAGTATAATTCATTTGCAAATGGCAGAAGGGAACCTCTAGGACTACATCAGTGCGCTTATTGCAAGCAAAATGGACACTGGAAAAACAAATGTCCAAAGAGGAGAAAGATGGAAAATGATAGGTTAAGTAAGCACGTTAGCAACCTGGAAACTATGTTCAACAAAAAATGTGGTGACACTGGCTAGAAAAAGAGTCTGAAACTCCAGCATGTGCCAGTCAGAACCCACAAAGAGGTTAAAAGTGCATCGAACAGCACACTGGAGAAAACTAAGAATGATTGGACGTGAAGAAAAGAAACTTGTAAGAGTCAAAGATGAGAACAAAATCCTCAAAATGAATCTGGAATCCAAGTACATCAGCCTGGGTGAGCATGAGGCAAAGCTGGGGGCCAAAGGTCAGAGGCTGAAGGCGGCACAGGATGCCAGTGATGCCATTCTTGCTGACTACAGGCAAGACCAGGAGGAGATCCTGATGCTGCACGCAGAAATCAAGGCTCCGAAAGGGCAATTTGAGCAGACACAGAAGTGCTGTATCAGAGAAGAAGCAGCCAAGAAAAGTGAACAGGAAAACATCATGCTCAAGAAAGAGATTGTTAGCCAGGCGCCAGTGGTTCACACCTGTGAGCTACTCAGGAGGCTGAGATCTGAAGATCTCACTTTCCAGCCCGGGCAGGAAAGTCCGTAAGACTCTTATCTCCAATAAACCACTAGAAAACCTGAAGTGGCACTGTGGCTCAAGCGGCAGAGTGCTCCCCTTGAGCTGAAGAGTGCAGGGACAGCACCCAAGACAAGTTCTAGCCCCACAACCAACCAAAAAAAAAAAAAAAAAGAGATTGTTACTCTTCAGAAAGAGTTAAAGGACATGCTCTGATGGGAAATGCTAGGGAAATGGAAAGAGCATTAGGCAGAAAAACAGAAGAGCTAAACAGTTGAAAGACCTGTCACAAGAATACACTGAAGTGAAAAATGAGAAAGAGAAGCTACTAGAGGAAAAAGCCAAACAGACTGCCAAGATCCTCACCATAACTGTAATGCTGCATGTCCCAATGGAATAGGTGGAGGTGTGGAAAAAACCCTCTCACTGTCTGTGCCTCGATGAATTGTCTCGCTCTCCATAGGTCATAAGTCCCTCAGTGTTCTAAAGAAAAGTTTCTGTAAGAAAAGTTAAAATAAGCTGGGCACTGGTGGCTCACGCCTGTAATCCTAGCTACTCAGGAGGCTGAGATCTGAGGATCGCGGTTCAAAGCCAGCCTGGGCAGGAGAGACCATGAGACTCCTATCTCCAATAAACCACCAGAAAACCGGAAGTGGAGCTGTAGCTCAAGTGGTAGAGCGCTCGCCTTGAGCTGAAGAGCTGAGGGACAGCGCCCAGGCCCAGAGTTCAAGCCCCACGACCGACAAAAAAGAAAAAGAAAAGTTAAAATAGGGCTGGGAAGTTGGCTCAGTGGTAGAGTGCTTGCCTTGCATGCCTGAGGCCCTGGGTTCGATTCTTCAGCACCACATAAGAAAAAAGAAAAAAGCCGGAAGTGGTGCTGTGGCTCAAGTGGTAGAGCTCTAGCCTTGTGCTGAAGAGCTGAGGGACAGCGCCCAGGCCCAGAGTTCAGGCCCCACGACCGGACCCAAAAAGAAAAAAGAAAAAAAAAAAAAAAGAAAAGTTAAAATAGCCAAAGCAGATCAACCAACTAATGAGACTTCTACCAGCTACAGCATTTTCCCCTAGTAAATATAAAAAACCTTATTTTCAAAAATAATTAGTATATGCTTATTTTA